GAACAATTAATATACAATGGGACACAGGTAAAACTGTATACCAAAGGAAATTCACAGCTTTCAAGTTCATTTAAAAGAAATTAAAATAAACGATGTATAAAACAGAAGACATTATGACTATATAACAAAACAAACCAGAAGAAAATAGGAAAATAAAATTAACAATAGTGCATGAGGAATGAAATAGAAAACCAAAAAATACCAAAATAAAAACACATTAAGAGCTGTTTCTTCGATAATATCTATGAAATAGCTATACTCTGAAAGCCTTTTTAAAGAAAAATGAGAGATAAAATAAAAAACATTCAGGATAAGAAAGGAGATATTATAACCAGATATACAAGAGAATAAAATAAGAGAATATTGTGTGCATCTTCATGGCAATAAATTGAAAACCTCGAAGAGTGGTTCTTAACCTTGGTTACATATTGTAATAACCCGAGGAGCTTGGAAAATTGCTGCTGCCTGAGCCCCACTCCCAGAAATTCAAATTTAACTGGTCTTGGGGTGTGGCCTGGGCACTGGGATGTTTAAAGCTGCCCCACGTGATTCTAACATTGAACCACAATTGAGAACCACTGAATTCTTACAGGGTTTGGGCTGTGTGGTTCATGGACTAGACTAGTAGCATCAGCATCTCCAGATTGTTTGCAAGAAACGCAGAATCGCGGACCCCACCTCATAGCCAGAGTCAGAACGAGCACTTTCACAGCATCCCGCAGGTGATTTGCACATAATGTGTATGCACATTAATATATGAGGTGTGCTGATAAGAAAAAATGGATGATTTCCAAGGGAAAAAGAGATACCAAAATTTATTTCAGAAGAAATGCTGATGGACCAATTAATGTAGAAGAGATCAGAAAAGTAAAGACCTACCATTTCTAAAGAGGCATGAGACCCAAATGCTTTCACAACTGAGTTCTATCTAACCCTTAAAAATCAGACAATGCCTCTCTCTGGTTTTTAAACCATTCCAGATTATAGAAAACTTTCCAAGTTTATTTTATGGAGGCAGCATTGCATTAATATTCAAATCTGATCATAATAGTACAAAACAAGACAACACCAGAATTATGTACATAAATACAAAAATTCTCAATAAAATACTAGTCAATTTAAGCCTTAGTATATTGAAAGAACAATAAAAATTGCCTAAGCAGGGTACTTTTATCCTAGAAATGCGAAGGTGGTTTAACTTTAGAAAATCCATCACTGTAATTCAATATACTTTATTACATCAACAAATAAAAAGAGCAAATCAAGTAATTATATCAATTGGTGGTAAAAAACATTTGATAATATTAATTAGTCATTTCTAATAAAATCTCTAAGTAGAATAATAATGGAAGGAAACTAACATTGGCAAATGCTATTTTCCAAAAGCAACATTATACGAAGTGGTTAATTACTATAGTATTGCCATTAAAAGCAGGCACAACACAGAAATGCCTGCTGTAACATATATTATTCCGCATTGTTTTAGAAGTTCTAGCTAACATAAGACACAAAAAGGAAATCATTGACATCTTTTTGTCATATGACTGCACACATAGAAATTCAAAAGACTACTAAAGCACAATTAGAACTGGGAAGATAACGTGGAAAAGTAGCTGGGTATGTGGAAAACATAAAAATCCAATAGATTTCTCTATAACCTAGCAGTATCTAGGTGGCTAAAAATTATAATGGACTTATGAAAAGTATAAGACCTATATATAAAGAAAGTTATAACATTTTATTAAAGGACATAAAACAAGATCAGGTTACGAGTAAGTGGAGAAACATGGATGAATATGAAGACAATCTGATAAAAATGTCAAGCTCAACTTAATATTAAAAACTCATGCAATTTGAATATAAAACCCCAATGTGTCTTCTAAGGGAAGCTGGGTAAAATTATCTTAATGTTCATATGGAAGAATAGATGTCAAGAAAACTACAGAAAAGGACTTGCTGTCTAGATATTGGAGTTCAACATAGAGCACTGTGAATAAAACAATATATTGGCCCAAGAATAACAAATAGATCAGTAAAACAGAATAGACTTCAGAAATAAATCCAAGGTTGTATATGAACTTAAAAATAACAAAGAGTCATTTTAGTTCATGCGGGTCCAGGACAACTTACTTAATGAACAGTATTGTAATAATTGGCTCTCCAAGAGAAAAGAGAAACTAGACCTCCTACCAAACAATATATGCCAAAATAATTTTAATTGTATACAAATCCAAACAAAATTAAAACAATACAAATATCAGAAGAAAATCTAGGCATATATTTGTAGGAGCTTGAGGGTACAAAAGACCTTTTTAAGTAGGACAAGAAACCCCAGGAATCATAAAGGGAAAAAAGGAAACATTTGATTATACAAATTTTAAAGATTTTTGTATACAAAAGGCAACATAAATAAAAACAAGATAAATCATGGACTAGAAAAATGTGCAGCAATACATTAGAAAGCTAATGGGCCAAATGTACAAAAGACTCTAAATAGAAAATGGGGCACGGGATTTGAACAAGTGATTCAACAAAGAAAAAAATCAAAGGGCTATTAGACATATGAGAGAATTACTTAACTCCACTGAGTCAGGTCAAAGCAGATTGAAACAATGATAGCATGGAGAGAGTTTTCTTAGCTGTGATACTGGCTCTAACATCCACTGTATGTAAGAGCAAGGAAAATGGGCCCTCCCGTATATTGCCATGGGGGTGTGAATTGCTACAATCCTGAAAATCTCCACATGCAAAAATATTTCTTTCGCACCTGCTACATACCATGTTGTTCTAGGTGAACAGCAATGAACACAACAGACAAAAATCCACGCACTCCTGGAATTAACATTCTAACAAAAAATAATTTGCTAATATGTAGTCATTTTTGAAATCACACATATCCTTTCACTTGGCAATTACATCTTGGGGGAATCTATCCTACAGAAATCAAAGCACAAGTGTGTAAGGATTATATGCACAAGGATAGTTATTCTAGCATTCTTGCAGTGCCAGAAAACTGGAAACAATCTAAATGTCCATCAAAAGGGGAATAGTTGATTAAATTACAGTGGGTCCAATCTCTGGGAAGTTATTCAGCTATTATAGAGAATGAGATAGAGTTTGGTCTACTGTCCCAGAGGGATGGATATGATATATTAAGTGACTTCCACAGGTGTGTAATCTCATTTTAGTAAAAAAATTCCAAATCCCGGGGCCGGCCGAGTGGCTCAGCTGGTTAAGAGCTCGCTCAAGAGTTTGAGCTCTGAGCAACAGCGGTTCGATTCCCAGCCTGAGCTGAGCAGCCGCTGAGCTGCCAACAGGTGGCAGGATGGCTCAGCTTATAAAAAAATTCCAAATCCCCCTCCCTACGCCTCCTCTTACTCTTTCCATATCTTCCTTTGTAGTTTTGTATGAGCTTGGAGGGAAGGTGTAGTCTGCTAACTATGATTACTTCAAGGTAATCAGGTTGGAGAAAGTATGGAGGCAAAATCAGTTTGTCTTAATACTTATTTTGTATTGTCCAGCATTTGTTACATGTATTTCACAATTGAAAAATCAAACAAAGTTAAAGCTCAGTAAAGACATTTTTAAAAGGATAATGTTCCGGCTAGTGGGATTGAGTGGGGAAGGCATTTTACTTTCTTCTTTGTACCATTCTGAATTTTCCATGTCCTCTCCAAAAAAAAAAAAAATGTGCATTAAAAATTTTTAAGGCAACCAACAGATATGGAAATACTTGATGTTTGGAAAGAAAATTGCTGAACATAGAATCAATGTTGTGGTTACAAGATAGATTTATGTGTATGGACTAAGACGGGAAAAGAACAAAGATGAACAGCCCCTTTAATAAAGCAAGTGGCATTGTGGGTGATCATTTTTCCAAACTTTGGTATGAAAACATGCAATAAAAATAATCCACAAGGTTTCCATCTTTGCGTAGTTAAGTAAATTTGCCCTTTAAAAGTTTTTTTGTTTTTTTTTTAAGAAAAACTAAAGCATACTGCCCTGGGAGAAACAGGAAATTAACCTTCGAAATTCTGTCACCACAAGAGGGGACAGTAAAAGTCAACAGGGGGAAATGAACACTTATATGCGAGGCTAAAGGTAAAAACCTCACACTTTGCTAGTGGGCTCATGCCAGAGGGCCACTCAGAATTGGACTAACCCTTATTGTTTTATAAGGATGGCATAAGGGAGCCCCTCCACCTTCCGAGTCCCAGCCTGGGAGGGTTGGGGAGGCTGTTGCAGCCATTCTGTCTCACCTGCTCCACCTTTCTGGTGGGACACCAAGCAGTCTCTCTATAGCTCACACAAGGTAGGGTGGGCCCCACACCTTTGAGGGACTGGCTGCATCAGTCAAGGCTTAGATTGGGAGGAAACAGATTCGGCCTCTGGGTCTCCCAGTCCAGCTTTACTAGATGAAGTCACACTCAGTTTGTGGTTTCTTGTGTCTATTTTCAATGTGGTTAGAACCCAGAGAGGAAGACAGGTATAATTAGAACCTCCAAAACCACAACAGATGGCTTTGCAATAGTTCCCCTTAGTTCAAAGCAGCTCAGGCTAAAGAAAATGGGTTCTGCTTTTAAAGCCAAACATAAGCATGAAGGAAAAGCAGAAACTGGCCTCTCTTGGAAAGCAAAATAATATAGGTCTAGTTAACTATTCTATTTTCATCAATGTGTTTAGATATTTTTGTGATAATTCACATCATGAATGAATAAATGCCATCTATAATTCCTAAGCAGGTTTTCTGCAGCCAAGTTCCCTAGTGGCTTTACAACATCAGCAGCTCACCACAAAGCCAAATCCTGTGTTCACTGATACCAGTAACACAAGAGACCAAGCGAATAGGAAAAACCAAGTAAAGGAAAATCATTCTGGATTTTTACCTCAAACTTAATAGACTAAGAATTTCCATGTTATACCGTGTTGGGAATTTAACTGTGCGATTTGTTTCCTCATGTCCGTGTGTGTGTGTGTCTATAGGCAACACTCCACTAGAGTAACTTAAAATAGGAATTTATTTACAATAGCAAAGATGTCAAAAATAACAGGAACAATATATAACAAATCCATGAATTATTTTATGAAAAAGGCAGGCAATATATACACAAAAGGTAAAACAAAATCCAAAAGGGCAAACTTAATTTTGACCTTAAACAGCCGCAGAATGTGGCAAAATGGTTTCTCAGATATGAATTACTTAACTTGGGCCAATTGATTACACACACACTTTTCAGCTCTTCTGTTTTACTTAACGTGCTGAACCTTCCTGAGTTCTATTTACCTTTGAGAAATGTAACTTAGGGGAGGCCAGACAAGATTCATGAACTACAGGCTATTTACATGTGTACTAGATAAAGGATTTGCTTATTGACTGGCAAGTACACATTTGAAGAGGGGTAAACCCAAGGTGTAATTTGAGCCCCACTTCACTTTCAACTTATTTCTGGCACACGCGTGTACATGTTTTTTGTCCACCACACAAAATGTTGCACCAACAATCTTTGAAGTTCCTCAAGGGCTCTAAAACAGTGTTTCCCAAACTTGAGCATACATCAGAATCACTTGGAGGCCATGTTAAGACACCAGGTCACTAACTGGGTCCCGTGCCCCATATCCCAATCCAGTGGGTCTGGGGCGGGGCTGAGAATTTGCATGTTTAACCAAGTCCCTGGCTGCTGCCAGACCCTTTGAAAACCACTGCTCTGAAACAGCAGCCCTTTAAGATTCTGACTGGTTGTGCTTTTTCCATGAATCCTAGAATTTGTGGGAAATAAAGGAAATTGTTAATACTGAGTAAGATTCCCACAGAACAGAGCAATGCATGATCTGACTGCCTGGGATAGGTTGGTAAGGTGTTGTCTGTCAGACATTCTATTACAACCAAGTTTCTCAGCATGCTAGGATTTTGTCTGATTTACGGGTCTGGACAGATGCTCACCATGTCCTCTTGATCATTTACTCAAGTTTTGATTATTCACTGTTTCAAGGATTAGGCGAACACTTGTTCCTACATAGCTGAAGATCTGCAGGATCTCATCTTTAAAAATCAAAGATGCCTCAAATCTATCTTGTTCTTTTTTGACTCCTGATAACTTTTACCTAACTTCTGATTTTTGTTATGACAATGACCATTCTCCTGTATGTTAATGTCAACTAGAGCCCTCCCAACTGGGCACAGAGGACTAACTCGAGGGGCAGGGCTTCTCCTGTGGAGGTGGGGACGACCCCCACTGATCAAATGTGTTGTGGACTGATACTGAAATGAACTTTAAGTGCTCTCAAAAACCACTTTATGCAAGAGAAATCTATCTCGGGAATTTAGGGATGCTAATAAAATAAATCCTTTATGAAGATAAAAGAAAAAAATGAATTCCAAGGACATGCTCATCAAAGGACTCACCAAATCACCTCTTAACTTCTCTGAAATGATAACTTAGCAGGGCTGAAATATTATCAGTATTTGCACCCGGGTCACAAAATTCAAAGCCATCAAGCATTTTGCATTCCACTGCTGGATAAAAGGAATTAAGAAATGGGGAAATGAAAATAATCCACTGCTTTTGATGTTTATTAGGTTTACAAAAACTGTACATATTTTTTTTTTAAGAAAAAGCATTAACTTAGTACTGGTATCAAATAGACTAAACATTCATTAACAGGAAAATATTCTGATTTTTATTTTTGCACGTTATTCTCAAGTACACAATTACAATAATGTCACACATCCCTATATGATTTTCTTTTTATGTATTTTACTTTTTTTTACAAAGTGTACAGAGGGAGGGACATACAATATTTAATAGGATATTTCTACAGAACAATAACTTATATTATGTCCTTGTAAAAATCTGTACCTCTTTAAAACATTTAACTGAAACATCCATTTTTTTAGCTTTGCTAATCAAAATTGTTTTAGGAATTAAAACTAGGTTGTAACTAATGTCAGTACATAACGGTGACTACAATTTAATTTTCTCTTTATACAGACAAATACATTTTAGCATATTCACTTGACCAAACCCTTAAATACCTTTTAAAGGTTTCAATATTGTGCTTTAAAAAGAAAAGAACTGTGTATGATTCCAGACTATGTAAGAGAAATATAAAGTGTGTAAAATGTTGTGTTCTTTATCTTTCAGTTTATTTAAAAAAATATAGTTAAATGACCAATTATTTATACTTTCAAATTTTACAGAATGTTTTAAAATTAATTAATTTCCACTTTCATTTAAGTGTTTTACATTCTCTGGGAAAAATAAAAAATAAGGGAGATTTTAAAGGTTCTCACAAAAAAACAGACAGAGCTTTCAAGAATAGTACTGCGGGGCAATGAATCACACAATTTTAAGTTACCTTTTTTAAAAAAGCACGTTATGGAGGCCAAGAGGGCATAGGAGTTCCCACAGGGATAGGCCCATGCCTTGGTTTTGACTGGCATTCAGGTTGAAGTTCATACCAGCCCAAAGTACTTGATTTAGACGTGGGCTAAATCAATCTAGCACTTCAGAGGCTTGCCAAACACCAAATACTTAGATTTCTAACCCTATAAACTCTTGAATACAAATATCAACGGCAAAGAGAAAGATGAAAGATAAAAACCTAAAAGCACGAAGGGGACGGAGCACCATAATGAAGTGGCAAGGCAGCTATCAAGTGGGAGGAAAAGTCCTAACTCTCCCACAATGTGCCAGATACTCATGTGCCGACAGCCAACCTAAGGACCCCCAAACCTGTTTCGTTCTCCAACATTCATCCTAAAGTAACCCAATTCTAATTAACTGAGTTCATTACTCTGATGCAGAAGTATTTGTTTAAAAATGTCAACTCTCAAAGAAAAACAAAACTGTGAACGACTTGGGGATGTTCCAAATAAGGCCTCAGATGTTCCTCATGCACTGAAAACACACCTTGATCTTCTAATCAATGCCAACTTGAGGGTGAAGTTTTTTCAAGTTTGCTAACTGTAACTTAAAAATAACAGAGCAGGCTGAACTTGCCAAGTGTAAATTCATGAAGTAGCACCCAATCTCTGGTACATGGAGCGGTAGCTTCCGTAGTCCCCCTCGCTTGGTGATGCAGAGGTCCCTTACGGGCTTATCAGAGAGAACTGAGGGAGGTATGTCTGAATACTCATTAGCTTTTCAGAAAAATATAAAGGCATGGAGCTGAAGTTGTATGAAAACATTCTATCTAGAAACATCTCAACTTCTATTTTTCAATTACCAAAGATATTTCAAAGAAAATACCTTTACTCTTTAAAAATACTAGTGTCCTTATTTTCCTTCTAATTCTTCACCTGAGTAGTCTCTCTGAAGAGCGTCATTTACAAAATGCTCTCTCATACATCCCTGCATCTTTCATGTTATTGTAAATTCAATACTTTTCATTATAGATTTTAAACTACTACTTGGGGTTGTGTGTATAAATATGTAAAATAAGCAATACACACAGATACATGTTTTTATATATATATATATATATATGTGCATATATATAATTCAGGGTACATTTACATATATAAAGTTGCAAAAGATTCTATGAGCCACAAATGACCTCTAGGAGATTCCAAAATGCAGTCCTCAATAAGTCTCATTGGTAGCACACAACCATTCCAAGACAAAGCAGCACAGACAGAATAATCAAAATACAACAGGATCAAGCAAAATTTTTCAATAAAGTTTACTAAAAGTTTGCTACGCTGACAAAAGATGTAAATACTCCAAAGAAAGCCAACCCCCCCAAAAGTATATTTCATCTGCTAAACAAAACGAAAAGTAAACACAGACCCAGCCACTGTTCTTTACTCAGCAATGCCAGGGATGCAAAAGCTCAAATGGAAACTTTCATTGTCATGTAGTCTGAAAAGATTAAGCAAGACAAGTAAATGACAGCCATGTTAGTATAATTAGACCTGACTGTAAAATCTCCCATTTTATGTTAGTAGATGTCTCTGACAATTTTATTGTGAGAAAAATACGGGGTGAAAAATGAGTCAATATGATTACTTTCAGAGTAACCAATCTAAAGTTACCTTAAGTTAAATGGTCTTAGAAGAGTACCATCAAGGTAAGCAAGGTAAATATTTAAATAAATAGAAAACTTCTAAGATAGAAAACTTCAGTATAGAATCAGGGATTATGTTATTAAAAGCAACTCTTGGTTGTTGCTGCTTTTCCCCACTGATTAAACAAACTGAATAGAAACCAGAACACACTGTTGAACAAAATGTAAAAAAAAAAAAAAAAAGTCAACTAGAAGCAATAACTCTATTTGTACACAGCATAAATCAATATACAGTATTTCATGTGAAAGAGGCTGGCTTTAAAATTAAATTTCTGCTTCAAGGCCAACATCTCTGCAAATGTCTGGAGAAGTATTGTTAGGGCAGGCCAACTTCTTTATGATGTCGCATGATGTGCTGGTTCTTTTCGGAAGGTCTTCGGAACCCCTTCTTGCAGTACTCACAACGGTGAGGATAGTCCTTCGTATGAATGGAAATGACATGCCGCTTAAAGCCCGAGGCATCTGTAGTGCTATACTCACAGTACTCACACTGATACACTTTCCTGCCACTGTGTGCCTTCATATGCTTTTTAAGCTCATTCTGCTGCCTAAATCCCTTTCTACATCTCTTACACCTAAATGGAAGATCTTTTGTGTGAACTGAGAGAATATGGCGACTTAGAACAAATGGATCTGCAATCTTAAAGTCACAATGTCTACACTGGTGCATTTTTTTACCCTTGTGGGCAGCCACGTGCTTCTTGAGTTCTGAAGGCCTGTGAAAGCCTTTATCACACATGTCACACTTATGGGGGTAGTCCTTCGTGTGAACTGAAATTATGTGTCGTTTCAAATCACTTGAGTTCGAGCTCTTGTGGTCGCAATGCAAACACTGGTGTGTTTTGCTTTCTTGGTGGATAAGAGCATGTTGCTGAACCTCTTTGGTATCTGAGAAAGTCAGAAGACAAATTTCACACTTGAATGGCATCTCTTTACTGTGCTTAGTTTTTACATGCGTTTTCAAGTTAGAGGAGTCTGCAGATCTATATTCGCAGTACTGGCATTCGTACGGCTTCTCCCCGGTGTGGATTCGCATGTGCTTTTTGAGCTCTGATGGGTGACGAAAACCTTTACCGCACTCCACGCAAATATGAGGAAAGTTCTTGCTGTGGACCGCCAAAAGGTGGCGATTCAATAACCCTTGTTCAGCTGTCTCGTATTCACAAAATTTACACTTGTGCATTTTGTTGGCTCCTTTTTCCTTATGCACCATTTTGTGAGTAAACAAAGCCCCAGCGTGAGAGAAATGCTTCCCACACTCATCACATTCAATGGCCTTCTCTGCCTTGCTGGTCAGCTTGTGGCTCTCCAGGTGGTTGTGTAAACTTATCTTCTTGTTGGTAGTGTAATCGCAGTCAGTACAGCGGTACTTCTTCTTGGTAAGGTGTTCAGGATGGTTTTTCATGTGCCTTTTCAAAAAACCTCTTGACTTAAACTTTTTCCCACAGATCATGCAAGGATAGACAGTCAAGGGATGTCCATCAGGGCCAATAATTATTGCTAAGAAGGGAAAAGAAAGGTGCATGAGAGATCAAACCAAGTTCTGTTCTGGTATCTTCAAGAATTTAAAGTGTGTGTTCTGAACACTATTGGACAAACACTGCTCAGTTAGGCTATTTGCTACTTAACATTCCTTTTATTACCATTTTTCAACATAAGAGATATAGCAACCTCATCGTAAAGAAGAACCTGGTCTGGAAACTTCATTCAGTAGGACTGTATCAATCTCATTCCCTCCAGTTGAAAAAAATAAATGGATAAATATGTAACTTCCATCAACTAGTGACTGAAGCTGTTATCAATTTGGAAATTGGTGGGAAATTATTCAAGAGAATCAAGTTTCACAGTCACAATTTCTGCTTTGGTTATTCCAAAAAACAATTTATGTCAATTTACAGTAAAGCTTAAATATACCTATAAAATTTTTAACATGTAAATCGGCATATGAGACTAGACAGGAATATGTCACACGAACTGAAGTCCCTGTCCTGCTGCTCTCTAAATTATGCCTGCTTTATGCTGACATAATCAGATTCTTCAAATATATTTTAGTTAAAAAACAAAAAACACCAGAGTTTTCAATTTTTTCATCCACGTTTGATCCATTCCGTTTCTTTTTATCCAAGGAAATCATTCATGAATATCACTGAATTCTTAAAATTATGTTTTCAAATTCAATACACAAAAGCTACATGTGGTCTAGCAGCTAAAATGCCATCACAACACCTCTGTGGATACATACTAGAGCTTCATCTGAGAGCTCGCAAAGCACGCTGCGCTGTGGGACTCATGTGCCCTCACCTGTTTGGTACTGCCTGGAATCAGGTCTTCTCCTTTTCTTTGGTTTTTGTTTAGCCAGTCTGCCGAGCCCAGCAGACTCATCTATGTGCAAGAGGGCACTTGCAGTGCCATTCCGGTTTTCAATTCCATCAGAATTATTACCTAACAATGCGCATTAAAAAACAAAATTATACTGTATTATAAATTATAAAGAATTAGGGATTCTTTATTAATTACAACAACGAAAAGTAAAGCATGATACTCATGAATGACAGAAGTTCCCCATCCTAGGTAATGAATGGGTTTCATGACCACATTTATTATAGCGAGGCTGTTGGAAATGGCCTAGCTTCAAAATCTAAAAAAACACATGTCAGCATTTTGCCCCATGGACTCCTTTCTTGTCTCCCAAAATTATACAGGCATGGGCCAGACATAATCAAGATGACAAGTTCCAGCTTGAAAGCCTATGTACTTCTTGCAGTACTTCCTTCTACGTAATATACACATGAAGGAAAATCCTGTTAAAAATAAAGACAAAAAGTAGACTTTATAAATCTTCCCCTACTCTTGTCCATATCAAATAACCCTTATAAGGTGCTGGTATTTCAGATTTCTGAAACCTAAGACCACAGAAACCATCTTACAATCAAGAATTCATGTTCAAGAACCAAGTCAGTCCTAAGAGCTGCTATGCGACTTACCGTAAGCTGCTGCCCATGCTATCGGCATGAAGGTTTTGATTTCATTGTCATCGATTTGCTGTTCGTGTGCAGCGGCTGCTGCTGCTGCTGCAGCATCCTCTTCTCCCACAATCACTTCCATATAAACTTCATCAGCGATTTCAGCAACATCTAAGTAGAAAATCATATAAACTTTTGTGGCCAGGTTTACAGAGATCACAGGAAAGATAATTTCATTTGAATTCAGTACTTAGGTAAGTAGAAAGAAGGTTCAAATGTTATAAACCTACAACAGAGCCTTCACGTAGTAAGCACCCAAATACTTTAATGAATCATTCATTTCTTGGTTTTCACCAGAATTTGTTTATAAAGCGACATTCTAAGCATGCATAATGAGTCACTGATGTTTACTTTGGAATATGGCAGTGTAATAATTTCTACAATAACACTTGTTTCCTTCAATTACTGGTTATATTTATTTTTTTTTTTTTAAAAAAAAGAGCTACAGGAACATAAAATTTTCTCCCACAAAAAGGCCACCTACTTACTTAAATCTTCATCTTCTTGCTGAGAGTCATTGACAGTCATATAAACCATCTTTTCCCTTGGCACACGAATACTGCTAGTCTGATCAAGTAGTTCAACTCCATGATCATTCTCAGGCTCACTCTCCACAATGTCTACGGTGCCACCTATCAGGGAAGATGACAGCTCCAAGAATTTATGTGAAAACTTCATTTCTACCTGTTTTACTTATTACATTTTACATACTTTTCTACTGCTACATTGGAATCCTTGCTTAAAAGTCATCTTCACAAAAGATTTCAAATGTTCTCAATCTAAACCACCCAAAAGTTATCAGGAGGTACAATATGCTGAAGGTTTCCTCTTACCTAAGTCATCCTCTCCAGGGTCAGCTTTAAAAATGTACACCTTGATGACTTCTGGGCAACTGCCATCCACTTTACAAGGATCAATTTCCGACTCTGCATCCAAGGTCATTCCAGAGGAACCGTCGTGTTCTATTTTGCCAGCATCATCCACTAAAAAGGCAGGAAACACGTAACAAATTATAATAGTGGATATTTAAATAAAATGCTACTGTTTTCAAAGTCTTTTTTACAAATACAGTCTTTAATCTGATTCACATTAAACTGAATGGTTTTATCTAGACACGCAGGGCATGGTGGGAAATGTGGCCAACGGCTAAGCCGAAGCCTGGTCATGGAGGGTCTTGCGCAAGTAGGCAAAGCAGCTCAGACTTGATCCTGGTAGTTTGGAGGTTTCTCAATCTGGTCAGGTGTCAAAATCTCTTAGGGAACTTAAAAACACTGGCCAGTGCCAGCAGTTCTCTAGAATCAAAATCTATAGGGATGGGGCCTGATATATAGACAGATTTAAAGGTTCCCTGCCCCAGGGATTCTGATTAGAGGTTTGAGAACCTCTGCTGTAAATGATGGGATACTTTCAAGCCAAGCAGTGAAGGGTGAGATCACCATTTTTGCTACACTACACTGGCCTTAAGAAAGGTAGATACAAAGGGATCAAGACATAAAACAGGGATACCACTTGTGACTCTATTGAAATAATGCAGGAGGCAGATGCCAAGGCCTCGAATCAGGACAGAGGTAGTACAGACGGGGAAGAGGGCTGGACTTGAGGCCTATCCTAGGACTGAAATGGTAGAGCTTGGTGCCCAACTGAGAATTGAACATGACAAAGGAGCCAAGGCTAACTATGGGATTTCTGAGTTAGGTAACTGAGTAACTGGGGGAAGAAATGTTAAGAGAAATGAGGAAAAGGATCTCTCTTCCTGCATGTTTAATTAACTTAAGGACCAAGGGTTAACATCCCTAAAAACTCTCAGAACCGGTGCCTGCCCCTATCCCTCTGTGCTCACAGCGCCCTTTGATTGTTTCTCTGAGTGTCCGATTTGCTGCATTGTCATCGTCTGGGCTTCCCCCACTGATAGAGCAGAACCTGTCTTTTCTTTATTCAATCTTTTAAGACAGAGTCTGGTGGTAGATGCTCAGAATATTCATGAATCGATTATTCAATAAATGACCAAGATGTGACGTTAGCTGCTGGATATTCAAGCCTGAAAGCTAAAAGCTGACACACAGATTTGGGAGCCATCAGCTCCATGTTAACTAAGCCTTGTGATCACACAGTGAGAACTTGTAGTGTGAGGAAAGAGTGGAAGGAGGCAATCCTGCGAGTGTCATAGTTTAAGGAAGGGCAAAAAGCAGTGCACAAAGGAACCCGAGAAAGGACAGAAGGGGAGGTTGGTGGAAAGTCATGAAGGAAGGTAGAGTGTTAAAAATTCCAAGAATCCTAGAAAGGTGCATGGCTAATGCAGCATGCACGGAAGTCAAGGAGTGATGTCTGCATTGGCTAGAGGAACTCAGAAGTCATTCATGCTCCCGGTGAAAAGCAGTGTAGTGAAGGCTGTATGAGGTCAGATTAAAGTGGGTTGAGGAAATCAATGGAAGGTGCAAATTTCTTTAAGAAGTCTAATTTAGAATAGAAAACAAAGGGGGCAGTAACTAGAATGGCTTGCAGGGTCAAGGAGTTTTGTTTAACTGATAAAAAGAGTCATGCATGCCCCATCTGTGGGAGAAAATATACTAGAAAGTGAAAGGCTGAAGCAAAACACGGTGAAATTTCTGGATCAAGATGTCAGAGGAAAAGGGAGATGAAACTAGGTGCAAAGATAAAGGAATGTTCCTTAACCAGGAGAAGAAATATACTATCCTTCTGAGAGTTGACAATGTAAACATGGATGAGAACGTAGCTACACTGTGTTTAGAGAAAGGGGGAATGCAGAAAGTCGGAGAAGTTCATGGCTGGTGGCTTCAACCGTGGATATGAAATAGGAGGCAAGGTCTTTGGTTACCAGTGAGAGAATGGCAGACTGGGTTAAGAGATCAGTTGGTTAAACCCTTTGAGGTTTAACAAAAACAAAACGAGGTTCTCTGAACTCTGCACATAACTACCTAAATTCAAGTTTCTTGACTAAGCTTTATAAAAATGGTTTGTAGGGAGAAAGAATCAGCATTATGTCCTTATTTCTAGCCTGATATACTTACCCTTTTTCAAAGTTAAATATTTTTATGACATAGCTGACTGAACCAATGTTATTTTCTTATAAGTGGCTTTGGAATTTTAAACCGAGATAGCATAAGGATGAAGATCTCACCAAACTAGCAGGAGAATCCTCAGTAAATCTGTTATATCTTCAGAGAACTCATCTCTGACCGTTGATATTGCTGATGAAGCTTGGCCTCTTTTGGCAAGGTTTGTCAAAACTGATTCTAACAAGTACTAGAAGATCAAATGTCCTTATGTTTACAAAGAACAAGGTCAGGCTCGCTGTTTTTGTGTACATTAGTCTGTCAGTACTTGTAAGATAAAACCTTTGATGACTGGAAAATCTAATCACTTTGGAGCTTGCAAAATGTCATGTATTTAACTGTAACTTGGAGTAAAAGAACTTTCTGTTTGCTTTCATAAACGTGTGGGAAACACATTTCAAATATACAGGCTTATCTGAGCTGAGCAAAGCTATTCTATCACTTGACAAGAGAATTCACCTTTAGAATTTGTCCCACTAACTCAACCTATGAAATTATTCCAAATATGAAATATTACAGAAGCGATTTGTTTAAAAAATATTTTGATAGTCCTATTAAGTACTCAAAATTTCACTGTGATTTTAAAGCTACAATTAAAAACAAATTTCTAAAAACAAAGGCGGCTTCGTTAAAATTGACTCATCGTACGTATGATTTCTGTATAAGTGCCTTCTTCTAATGTAGTAATAGAGAACTAGAGCTTTAGAATAAGGTGTCTCCAAAACAGAAGAGCACAATTTCCTAAAATTAAGACTACTTCTAATAATAACTACCATTTACATGGCATTTCACAATTTCCTTAACTTTTCTACGTATTTTTATTTCATCTAATTCTCACCTTTTCCAGATAAATAAAGGCTCTGAGATGTTATAGGACTTGCCCAAAGTCAGTGAACTAGTGAGGGGTGGGAGACAGAGTGAGGAGGTGCCTGTCTTTAGAATCCAGACCTTTATTTTCATCTTCTGATTTTTTTTTTTAAGATTTTATTGGGGAATTGGGGGAGGGGAACAGCATTGGAGAATCAGGGAAGGGGAACAGACAAGTTGCTGTCCTTTTGTTCTTCAGTCTAGTTGTGGAGGATGTCGCTTCACTGGCCCATGTTGGTATTATCACTGCGCTCTTCCCGGCTGAGCCAGTCGCTTGCCGGCCATTGGACCCGCTCACGGCGGCTCACTCCCGCTGCGGGCCAGCCCTACTGCAGCCTACGCCGCTGCCAGTGACTCACGGCAGCCCAGCTCCAGGTCGAGCTGTTGTTCACCATCTTAGCTGTAGAGGGCGCAGCGTCACTGGCCCGCATATGTGTGATCTGAACCGGGGCCCTGCTGCTCAGAGCTGGCGTCCCAAGCCAACTCCTAACCAACGAGCCACTCGGCTGGCCCTCATCTTCTCATTTTTTAAGAAACCTATGTTCACTGTATAAAATTTAGTATTTTAAAAAATTACCAACAGTCCCACCAACAAAAGAGTCCATCATTATGTTAATAAATTTCCTTCCCAGTTTTTTCTATTTTTTTAAAAAATAGACTTGGCATCATACTTTCCTCAAGCCTTATAGAATAATAATCTTTACATCTCACCTAGTATTTTATATTTCAAAACTGAAGAAAAATTTGACTTAGCAACAATCTCATTAGCAATAGCAAAATATAGGCTTACTTTATACTGCTTCAAGGGCGCTTCAATAAAAGCCCCTGAAGACCGAAAATTAGGGAATGCTTATTTGCAATGCTAATAGATACTACAATATCTAAAAATATAGTCCATTAAGATTTCAGAAAACCCAATAGTTCCTGGGAGAGAAAAATTACTTGGAGAGGAGGGGGGAAGATACATCACTTCAAGTAAATTGCTTGTTAAAGGAACATTGATCTAATTTTAAAAATCAGCAAAAACCAAGCTTATATGGAGAACATTTCATGGAGAATCTGTAATAAGGAACGATGGTGGTTGTGATAGATAATAACACCAAACATTCACCCACCACGACCACATGCCAAGCATGACGCTAAGCCCTTAAAATATACCACTTACTCCTCAAAACAACCTTATGAAATTGGTGATATTGTTTTGTTATTCTCACCTAAGCTTCTAGAAAAATTTCATTATAATTTTTGCCAAGATAGAAAAATATGTTATTGGGTTGCAGTGTACATTAACATCATAAAAAGAGAGCCTACTAAACACCCTTAGACACTGCTCTCGGTCAGGTTTCCTAAAACAAAGGTCCAGTCACCTTAGTCTCTAGCACGGAATGGTGCCATTTCCTGCCAAGTAAAATACAAATTGCAGTCTAGCAACTGACCTTTAACCAAACTGCCTTCTGCCTTCAGTTTTGTCTCCCCCAGCAGCCCCCCGACTACCCCAGGGGTTCTGAACTTAATGTTTATATTTCCATTCCTTTATGTTTCTGCAACTTTGCCTATATATATATATATATATATATACATATATATATATATATATATATATACACACACACACATACACACACGTATATATACACACATATATACATATATGTAGTTTATTGCAGAAATTATACAGCTTATTATTTAAGAAAAGTATTCTAAAGTATTAAAAAATTAAAATATGCTCAAAATCCTACCACCTGGAACTATCAATAGAATTTACAGATTATTCAGATATTTCTATGCATATTTATAAATAAAAGAATGGAAGAGTGAACAGAGTTTTAATGAAAATTGGATATTGTAACATGCTAGTTTTAAACAAAAATGATTACATTAGAATTTACTGGAGTTCAGTCCCACTCCCTGGCTCTCACCCCTTGCCACACCCCTTTTCATTTTATCACACTGGCTTGGCCTAACCACAAACTTGGTTAAATGCAATTTTCCTCTTTGTCTCTGTACCAGCACCTGTGCAGCCAAATCTGGTTGGACACATG